CGCTGCCCAGTCCTGCACCATCTTCACAATCTTGGTATGCTCGAGTCCGTTGTCATGGCCACTGTGTATTTTGAGTCCTTCCAACCTCCGGGGCTCATCTTCCAGCACTATATCAGACAACGTTCTGTTGTGATCCATAGGATTTGCTTTGGCTAACTCAACTAGATCACCAGGCCTTTCTTCTCAACCTGCCTTAGTCTGGAAGCTCGCTGAAACCTGTTCACCATGGGTGACCCTGCTGGTATTTGAAATACCGGTGGCAGAGCTTCCAGCATCACAGCAACACACAAGCCCCCACAGTACAACAAACTGACAGACAGGTGGTGGACTGACTGTACCAGTCCCGTTCAAGAGAGATATTGTCCTGCAGGGTCAAAGTCATCTGCGGCCAGACCTGAGAAGAGAAGCTCAACCTCATCTTGATGCTTTAGGATCAAAACTACCTTTGTGATTAGATAGGAACCTTACAGGGCAGTGAGTTCATGTTCATGGGGAGGAGCAACTCAGAAAAGGAGAGAATGATTGTAGAGCTTGAAGAATGTAATCAATGTCACTGAATGGTACCTGTAGAAACTGTTGAATTGTTGTATGTTCTGCTGTGTATATCCTCAACAACAACAGCAAAATAAATAAATTATAACCAGGCAGTAACTTGGGAAGAGTGCCCTCAGGGTGATATAGTACGAAGTGAGGAGGACCTGAGCCATTGAGCTCACAGCGGGCTGGGAGAAAAAAGGACCAAGAGCAGCCTGGAAACTGGTCGGCCTGGATCTTTGTCAGGGATCCCCATGGCGTTTTTTACTTCATACTTTGTAGTTTTTGGACTCTAGCAGTCATGATGCCCTTTGAAGCTGGTGTAGAAGGAGGAGTTGTTCGTTCATTAAGAGTGGGTGTTGGAGTTACGTCATCTACGAGCTGTGAGCAAAACCGAGTCAGTTCTGACTCCCAGTGACCCATAGGACAGAGCAGAACTGCCCCACAGGGTTTCCAAGGCTGTCATCTTTATGGAAGCAGACTGCCACATCTTTCTCCCACGGAGCGGCTGGTGGGTTCGAACCACCGAACTTCCGGTTAGCAGCCGAGTGCCTTAACCACTGCGCCACCAGGGCTCCTCAGCTATGAACCCAATATCTCTGATCCCTTTTTCCTGTATTTGTAAAACTGGAGTAACTACACACCTTGCAGAATTGCCATACAAGGAGTAAATACGGCATTCAAAAGCGAAAAAATAAAAACCTACCTTTGTTGTGTGAATCAGGTGCAAAGGTGAAGCAAAGAGAAACGTGAGTGGAGGCTTGGCAGGTGCATCTCCTGGGGAAGAGCCATCAGCCAGCAGAAGACAGGACGCAGCTATAAATGCCCCCACGGTCACGTGTCAGTGAAGGGGCGGGGGCTCACGGGCACAGAGCCGGACAGCACACGGGGGTCAAGATAAAGGAAAAGAGAAAGAAAGCACCACGTAACAGCAAGGAAGGAGGAGTGTGGCCGTTAGATAGCAGCATGGACGTCTGCAGGAACGACTCCTCTCCCCATGGGAGGGGTTCAGAAGCTCCCTCTCGCCCATCCATCGGTGCACTCAGTTTTATCTGATCACGGGAGCGGACGGGTGAAATCACGAAGCACAGATTGTGAAGCCGCATCACCAGGCATATTCAGTTTCTTTGGTTCCAAAAATTTCTCAAAGCTGGCAGCAATAGATTGATTTGTCTGACACCCTGCGCCTCTGAGCTTGCTGCTTAGCGAGGTACTTCTCAGCAGTACTGACCACCAAGCTCCGGTGTCCCCACGCTGCTCAGCACTGCCATGATTGTTGCCTGATACGTCTAAGCCGAGCTCTTGGTTCCGCCCGCCAAGCCCTCTCCCTCATCCTTTCTCCTTGTGTTAGATCCCTGGGCTGCTGTGATGACTCGCCAAGCCTTCATGGCTTAAAACCACACAGCTTTAATCTCTTACAGTTCTGGAGGTCAGCAGGCCAGACCCGACAGCTTTAATCTCTTCCAGTTCTGGAGGTCAGAAGGCCAAACCCAGTCTTGCTGAGCTCAAGTGAGGCATCAGCAGGGCTGAGCCTTCTGGGGGCTCCGAGGAGGATCCGTTTCCTTGCCCTTTGCAGCCTCCAGAGGCCGCCCGCGCTCCTTGGCTTGTGGCCTCTTCCTCACCTCACTCCAAACTCTTGCTTCTGTCAAGTCTTTCTGCTGTTGACTCTGACCTCCACCTCCACTGGGGCCCCCGGATAACCCAGGATAATACCCCTTCTTAAGATCCTTCCCTTAATCACACCGCAGAGTCACTCTTGATGGTACAGTAATACACTCACAGCTCCCGAGGACTAGGACGCAGATGCCGTTGTTAGCTGCTTTCACATCAGCCCCTGACTCATGGTGATCCCGCGCACAGTGGAACACCACGCTGCCCCGTCCTGTGCCATCCCCATGATAGGTGGCAGATTGGACTGTTGTGATCCGCAAGGTTTTCACTAGCTGATTTTCGGAAGTAGATCACCGGGCCTTTCTTCCTAGTCCCTCTTAGTCTGGAAGCTCCGCTGAAGCCCATTCAGCATCACAGCGACACACAAGCCTCCAATGACAGACAGGCGGTGGCTGTGCATGAGGTGCACTGGCCGGAATCGAACCTGGGTCTCCTACATGGAAGGTAAGAATTCTCCCCCTGAACCACCGCTCCAGCACTGATTGCCCTGGCATTTCTCATAGGCACTTGTGCGTTGTGACTCCACTCCCATGACAGTGTCAGCTCCCTGAGAGCAAGGACATCTGCGTCTGCTGCACCTTCAGCTCCTGAAGAAAGCCTGGCATGTGGCCGGAGCAAATAAATGTTCCGAGGTAAATGAGGAGGCTTCTTAGCTTCACTCGCTATGATACCTGGTGGTGTCAAGAATAAGTGCTATTTAGAAGAGAGAAATATCAGTCAGGAGCCTTTCTGCTTCAAATGAGAAATCATTTTGTTCCTGTCTTCAGCTCTGTGAGGGACACCTCCCTATTGTTAGGGCCTACAATACTATCCTCAAAGAAAGCATTTCTTGTCTATACAGCCCATTTCATTCTGCGTAGATTCCCTTGTGCAGTAAGCAGATCGCTTTCATCCATTTGCTCGACGTTTTTCATTGAGCACTTTTTCTGTGACGGACATGGTGCTGGGACCCAGGTGAGAATACAAAGACACTGTCAGGGAACTCACAGCCCCGCCGCGTAGGGAGTGTGTTGGCACAGACCCAGAAACTCATTGCCCGTTGCCATCATAGCAACCCTGTAGGGCGGAGCAGAACTGCCCCATAGGGTATCTGAGGAGTGGCTGGTGGATTTGAGCAGCTGACCTTTTGGTTAGCAGCTGAGCTCTTAACTGTGCCACTGGGGCCTCAGGAGCTGTGGTAAAACACGGGGTGGAACTGAAAAATCTGAAATTAAAGGAACTTTACCATCCTTCTGGAGTCTCTAGTGATACAAACGGTTAACACACTTGACTGCTAACTGAAAGGTTGGAAGTTTGAGTCCAGCAGAGGGGCCTCAGAAGAAAGGCCTGGTGATCTACTTCCAAACACTCAGCCATTGAAAACCCTATGGTGCACAGTTCACTCGGACACACATGGGGTCACCAGGAGACAGAGGCAACTCAAATGCAACTGGTTACTGGTTACTATGAAGATCACCCAGGAGCAGAAGCTCAGAAGAGAAAAGGACATTCCCCCAGAGCTGACAGACAGAGAAAGACTTCTCCTAGAGCCGGCACCCTGAATGCAGACTTCTGGCCTCCTAAACTGTGAGAAAATAAACTTGTTTGTTAAAGCCACCCATTTGTGGTATTTCTGTTACAGCAGCAACTAGATACCTAAGACACTATCCTTCTAGCTTTTCCCACAGGCGCCTTTTACCTTCAGACATGCTCACGTGTACACACGCATGCAGGGCCATACAGAGACCTCTTCATTAATAGTTCCCCTTTGTAATTTCTCTTTGTTTGTCTGGAAGACTTGTGCAGGAGACAGATATCCAAAAGCACATGCCGTGGGGGACCGCTGCGCCTTCTTTACAGTAGCATATTTTGGTTATGTTATTAAAAGCGTCTTAGTTTACTTTAGCATTTAAAAACCACCAAACCTGTTTCCATCGAGTCGATTCCAACTTATAGCAACCCTATAGGCCAGAGTAGAACTGCCCCTTAGAGTTTCTAAGGAGCGGCTGGTGGATTTGAACTGCTGACCTTTTGGAATCAGGTAAAAGTAAATTGAAGTCCTTAAAACTACACAAGAGGACATGACACCAGTTCTCACTCATAGTGACGAAACGTGGCCAAAGTGTGCAGCTGGGGCGGGTCCAGCTCCTCCTCTATTCACACCAGATCCTTGAAAATAACCTGGGTGTTTCTGAGCTCATTTCCATACTGCTCATTTCCATGCTGCTCATTTTCATACTGCATCTGTAATTTGTCCACCAAAAGAGAAATGGAATGAAGACAGATGCTTGACATCAGCAGAGCTTATTTTTAGAAGGAAAGCTGATTGGCATGGAAACTTCCCTTTTTCTTTTTTTTTCTTTTTCAGCAGGAAAAACGGGAGTTCTTTCAGGGTCGCGTTTCAGGGCTTGGAACGGTTTGGGTCCGGTTGGAACCCCTGCTGGGAATTTGCATTTCTGACAAGTTCCCAGGAAGTGATACATAAGAATCACCTGGGAATCTTGTTCAAATGTAGATTCTGATTCAGTATATCTAGGGTGGGAATGCAGATTCTCAGCAGGGAATTCATTAGAAATGCAAATTCCCAGCAGGGGTTCCAACTGGACCCAACCAGTTCGAAGCCCTGATTTGTTCACATGAATTTTGCAGGATGGATCTGTTACGTCTTACGGTGACGGTGATGGTGACGGCAGGCTCACCTCCCCGTATCTCAGTGTGACGGGTATCCTTTGACAAGGCAGAGGAAGGGCCCTGCCTGTGCTCAGTGGGCGCGAGGTACCTCGAGCAGCCCCCTCATGTCATGCTGTCTGTTTCAGATCATCGACAAGAGTAAAAGGGACCCCTCGGAAGAGATTGAGATCCTCCTGAGATACGGCCAGCACCCGAACATCATCACCCTCAAAGACGTAAGCGGTCTCCGCGCGGCAGCCAGGCTGCGTGTGTCTCTTTAGCTGGCACACCAGCTTCCCCGTGTTCAGCGCCGGTGCCCTGCCGTCTCCAGCGCCTGCTGCACTGAGCACCAGCCCACGGGGCTGTCCTCACTGCCCTCTGCCTCACGGTGGTGGTTAGCCTGACCCGCTGCACCACTGATTCCCACCACTGAGAGCCCCCCCACGCCTCCCAAACCCCAGAACCTGCAGGTAGAGAAGGAAACCTGACTCGTGAATTACCACGTGCGTCCTTCCTAAGTAAACGCAACAGGGGCGGTCGGCAAGGGGTGGGAGGCAGGAGCAGGGGTCAGAGCGAGGCTCGGACCTCAGGCTCGGGGTGGGGGACCTCTCCCTTCTGTCCCTGGGTTTCTCTCTTGGGGGATTAGTGGTCGTTTTCCCCGGTGGGTAGCCACACTTGAGCCAGTCAGGCCTGTGGGAGAGGGGCCTGAGGTGGGGGAGGGGCAACAGGGGGGTTACCTCGTCTTCTCCCTCACTCTCTGTGTCTGTCAGGCTTCCCCAGATAACCTCCAGAGAATCTTTTACATAAATAAATACACACACATACATACGTGTGCCCTCGTGGCACAGCGGTTAAGCCCTTGGCTACTAACCACAAGGTTGGCGGTTTGAACCCACCAGCGGTTCCACGGGAGAAAGACCTGGCAGTCTGCTCACATAAAGATTATAGCCTAGAATACCCTATGGGGCAGTTCTACTCTGTTATGGGATCACCATGAGCCAAAATCTACTCAACAGCACTCAACACAACTATATATATATATGTAAACTTTATATCTTTTCTTAAGTTCAAAATCAGGTAAATTATGTAATATGTTCTGAAACTTCATTAATTTTCGAGCTAAAAAATAAGTGTATGCATTTGCTTTACTGCATTTCAGCATCAAGCTATTCTTGAAGCTTGGACACCCCTGGGCTCCCATATGCTTGGGGTCGGTGTGTACACGAGGCTCTTAACACGCAAACAGCCGATAAAAATCCGCAGGGTGTTTTTTGTTTTGTTTTTTTTAAAGTCATGAAATTGAGGCTGGTACAGTTAAAAGCTCTTCTTCTGTTGCTTTTCGAAAATAAAGCGGCACTTTGATCTGGTGAATTAACATGGATTCTGCTTCCTGCCCGTCTGAGCTCCTCGCTCCCGGCTACTCAGAGTGTGGCCGTGGACGAGCGTCATCAGCCTCCCCGGGGAGCCATTGGAACGCTGAGTCAGAGTCGGCATTTCAACCGGAGCCCCAAATCATATGCACGTCGGGGTTAGAGAGGCGCTGCCCTAGAGCTGCTTCAGCGCAATGTTGTGCCAGCGTTTGCATTTTTCACGTCAGATAGCTCTGCGTCAGAGAGGCTGGGCGGTATCCTGAGAAGATCCATTTCCGCTAACAACAGACCCGTGCAGTGATTAGCCCTCCAGCTGGCTTACTCATTCCCTGTGCGGTGTTGGCTGTCCTCGGGTGGGCCTCTGACTCACAGTAACCCCATGCCCAGCGGGACCCGATGCTGCCAGTCCCGCGCCAGGCCCATGATCGCCTGTGGATCCAACCGTTGTTCCACAGGGTTTTCAGGGCCTGGTTTTCACAGCTAGATTGCCAGGCCTTTCTTCCTCGCCTTAGTGTGGAAGCTCGGCTGGCGCCCATCCAGCATTCCCTGTGTAGCAGTAGGTTACTAAAGCGAGGTTTTTCTAAGGAGAGCCACTTCTGGGACGACTGACGGGCCTGCCCGCTCAGTCATTTCTGCAGCGGTCTGGTGTTCCCCAGTAAACACTAGGGCCCCAGCCTTTACCCACCGAATCCTCACTTCTGGAGCTAGCCCTCGGCCAAGTCAGGGAGCCAGCCCCCCGGGTGGGGGTCGTGTGGACACATGCGTGCATGGGAGTCTCTGAGCCGTGTGCCCGTCCCCTGCAGGTCTGTGACGTCAGAGAGCCGACCCTGGGTGGGGATGTGCGTGTGTCTGAGCC